TAATTAATTAACTTGAGTACTATATTGTTCATATGTAATATTTCATGACAATTATTTTTAGTAGTAGTATCCATTTTTGCAACTTTCGCGTGTTTTATGAACGAATATTTTATCAGTTCAATCCACACTTTGTTAAAAGTCAATCGAGTTGTGTCCCTTTGACACCTTTCAATGTATGGGTAGCCCTATCCTTGGGCAAGAAAAATACAAGAGTCAAATGATTGGGGGGTTTTAATGTCAAATGGCAAAGTTACCAATGCAGTTCTAAAGTTTTAAAGGCTATGAGATTTCCCCCAAAAAGATGGGCGGCCAGGGGGCATAACTTTGTTAAAACGTTATGAAGTCATCGGTCGAGACGTCATGAAGTCATCGGTCGAAAGACTTGATATAGGGGAGTCTAGAACTTAAAAATTATAAAAGTTTGTTTTAAAAAAAAATTGTGTTTCTACTAGTATTCAATTCATATATGTAGGCCTAGGCCCCTATAGACGATACATTTCTGAGGAATGCTTCTTTTGACGTCATGTCACTCTCTAAGGTACCCAACATGTTCTAATCATGATCAGCGAGTTTCTCAACACCCTTCAGAGTCTCCCCCCTCAATACATACATTTAAAAAACTCGCAGACCTGTGCTCTACATTCGTTTAAGCGTACAGCATCTCGCACTCATGTACACTCTCCCAAAAAGAAAACCTACTAGGCCTAGGTTAATCATGGAACACGAATAAAATACTTACTGGAAAAATGACTGTGAACGAGTCAAATTGGTGTGAAAACAGTGATAAATATACTATTCCAATAGCTACAGATGCCACAGTGATAATAGGTGTCCGTCTACTCATTATGAAATGCTTCGTTCAGCCAAACTCTAACAGCACGTGGTAATCAATGTTGACACCGTGTAATTCATGGACTTGAGGCATGGAATAGAGTTATGGAGTGGAGTTTGGAGTCAAATTTTGGAGTCTGAATTTTTTTAATTTTGATTTTTGCTATTTAGTGTTTCTTAAGTGTAGATTTGGTTGTGAAAAAAGCTCTAATTGATGTTACAAAGAAATTTGATTAATAATTATTATGAAAAGTGATCAAAATTGATATTTTAATAATTCAAATAAACATTAAAAACGCATACCACTAGTTTACTTCATGATATTTTTTATGCCCGCCATGAATATGGCCGGGGCATATAATGTATGTCATGTCCGTCTTCTGTCCTGTCCTTCCGTCGAGCTTTGCGTTTAGCTCAGTTCAAATCTCAGTTTCAAAGAAACTATTCAAGATATTTTTTTTTTTTTTGGAAAACTTCATATGTTGATAGGTATTGATGAGAGCTTTTCAACTGCGTAAACATTTTTTGACCTTGACCTTTCCTTTGACCTTTACCTTTTCTTAAATTAGTGTTTAGCTCAATTTTAAAGAAACGATTCAAGATAGTGTAATCAAACTTCATATGCTGATACATACTGATGTTACCTTTTCAACTGCATCAACATTTTTTGACCTTGACCTTTCTTTTGACCTTGACCTCAATTTTTCTTATAAATAGTGTTTAGCTCAGTTCTAAATAAAGAATTCAGGATATTTTCATCAAACGTCATACACTTATACATACTGATGAGAGCTATCAACTGCATCAACATTTTTGACCTTGACATTTTCTTTGACCTTGACCTCACTTTTCTTAACTCAGTGTTTAGCTCAGTTTTGAATAAACCGTTCAAGATATGTTTATCAAACTTAATATGCTGATACTTATTAGTGAGAGCTATTCAACTGCATCAAATCTTTTAACCTTGCACTTTTCAGTGACCTTGACCTCACTTTTCTTTAATTTGCATTTTGTTTAGTTTTAAAGAAACCGTTTAAGATATGTAAGCTTATGCACTTAATACACTTATACATAATTTGGTGAGAATTTCTCATCTATATCCAATTTTTTAGATTTCAAATTTAAAGAAACTTTTCAAGATATTCTCTTCAAACTTCATACACTAACACAAATTTTCATGTTGCATTACTTATATACACTGGACGGGGTATTCATGTCCTATGGACATATTTCTAGTTTTAAATTACGGAAATATAAACTAAAATGTTCATCTACACAAGGAACACACGCATCACTTTCAGTAGCAACATGGGAATATAATAAAACTACAGAGTTGTCACCTGAAGAATTTTCTATCTTTATTCTTTTTGTCAGTAAGACAAATTAAATCCGATATTTATACCAAGATTGATCAATGTAAAGCCCACATTCAGTAACTCCTATTTTGGGGGTATTACAATAAAGAATATATTTGCTTAAACAATCGGAAAATCTCACCCCAAAGGAGCAGAAAAATACCTTGAAATGAATTACGGAATATCAAACGGGCATGAATGACACCATCTAAACAAGTAGCAAGAAACATTATTTGTCTGTTTTTGAGCAGATTTTAAGGTGATTCAACAAGATAACCTAATTTTAGTAACAGGAGTTATGTTAAATGCTGCAATAGCTGGTGCTTAATAGCAACATGGGAATATAATAAACTTCAGAGTTGTCACCTGAAGAATTTTGTTCTAGACATTGTATCAGTCATATTTGAAAGCTCATGTTCTAGGAGTTGATATATTAACAAATATTCATTTAAGATATTGATTGTTAGAACAAGTCAGTTATCTATTACCTAAATCTCAGGATTGATATCATATTAATGTTAATTTTTATTTCAACAGATTAATCTTTTGGTCCAACTCTTGAAGTTAATCTTTTTCCTCGAAAATGAATTACCCATAATTATTGTACTTTAATGAATAGCATACTATGTGAATAAATGGGTCTGTTACAATCGCCTAACATTGCCTGCATGCTCTTGTATAAAATTCCTCATGACAGATTATGTGGGACATACAGCATGTACAGTGGCTGCACCAAATTCCCGCAAATTCTTTCAGATAAGGTCATGGGTATTAATTTCACTCTCATTGTCAAAAAGTGTGTTATCTTAAACAGTGACAGTTTATTCTATATTTTAATCAAATTTAACTGTTACATAAATAATGATCACCATAGCTTTCTACACATAATTGGAAGGTGATAAGACCCTTTGAACTAAATTTTAGCTTTCTGTCACATCTTTGTTATGTCTGCTAACACTTGCATATGTTTTTTGACCACACAGCTGAACAATGTGGGTTAATATAATTATTATTACAAGATTGTTTGTAGAATAAGATTGATGATTTTTCTCTCTATATAATTTACTTTTAGATTTGCAACCATCAATTTTGTATCTTAAAATATGACTTAAAAAAAGATTATCCATAATTCACATACATTTCCTTAAATAATTAAATAATATTATGATACTGTAATATGAATACAATACATTGGTGACTTACAATTTTATCAATTTAGAAAGTTAATGGGAAGGAATGCACTGTGATGCTAGCTAAGGGATGATAACATTTATATAAACTCCTAAAGAATGCAATAATTTTAATGTATGCATGCTGTTCGGTGGAGAACTATAAGTTAATTCAACACTAGATCACATACTCCAAAACCAAATGGTCATCGTTAACAGTTTAATCAATGAAACTGGGTGTGAGGATTCTGGCTTTTCTGTATGACCCAGTGTAATCTTAAAGAGCTTTCACTATCAATTAGAAAACTGAAAATTTATTCAATGTTTAATAAAGATAAACTGGAGTATAAACAATTAACACAATGCTTTCACTTGAAGTGTGATATGACCCATAGTTGATTTGTTGTTTCTGAGGGCGAGGTAGGGACAACCCAAGGAAATGGGAGAGAGATTAGTATGGTAATTGCTATGTCATTTTTAATGCAAGGAAGTAAGGGAGTGAGTAAACCTTTTAGTACACCATATAATAGTGGTATAAAGTGTGAAACTTATTTTAAAACTAATTATATTTTTTTTTAATTTAACATGGAAGGTAATGAATAGGTGAGTGTATATATTGAAAAAAAAAAATGTTCATATAAATTGCTTTAAACTCTGTATTAAAACAATCAGTAAGACTGACTATATATGTTGATTACTTATGTTCAACAGTTTCCAAACATTTTAAAAAAACAGGGGTTATCTTGTCAGTATCATGTCTGTCTATTCAATACTGATGTAATTTTCTCAAGTTACAAATACTTACTTAAGTTTCAGAAACTTACAAATTTTAATTAAGTCATAGTACCTATGAATTGTCAATCTGTTCAGTTACAAGATATGAAACAGCCAACAAACGTACAAAAAAGAATCAAAAGACTTCCATACTAATGCAATTTCTTGAACATCTTTTTCCATTCATGTTTTTTTTTTAAAAATCTTAGACTCCAAAATTTGACTCCAAACTCCACTCCATAACTCCATTTCATGCCTCCAGTCCATGAATTACACGGTGCCATCAATGTTCTACACATAGACGTATAAAACACTCAAAATTGAGGAGAAAATTAACGAAGATGAAACTTGAATTACAATAAAAAAAAAAAGTGTGGTAAATAGCTGGTGCTGACATAGAAAATAAAGAAAAGATTCTGAAGGAAAATAGCTTCAACCATATTAAATTACATGAACTACATGCAGCCGCCACTATCCAAGTCAACACTTCATGTAAGCATCAGTTCAGAGGCACTGGACGTTAATACGGTTTTTTTTGTTTTTGTTTTAGTTTTTGTTTGTTTGTTTTCCCTAACACCAACGTTCATCCCCTAGTCGTAGAATGTGTGTTTTGTGTTAGAACAAAAATATGACTTCAAATACAATAATAGCTATACTAACATGTATATTATATGACCCCAAAAAATATCACATAATGCATATGTATATCACGGCATATAGGCCGGAACTTTACGTTATTCGTTAGGCCCTATTTAAGATCATTCTTATAAAAACAATTTGAATGAAAAGTTTATATTCTTGACTTATTTAACCTCTTCCTCATCACGTACTACACTGAGGAAGAAGAAGAAAACAAAACAAAATTACTTACTGGCTTATAAAAGTCAAATTTCCGTTCAAACACTGCTACATGTAAATAAAATAAAGTTCCAGTTATCAACAATGTCAAGATAATCGTTCCTTTCACCTTGCCCATTCTGTATGGCGATCACATGCTGTTTATGACCCCTCTCTCAGCATCATCAGGGAATGAGGCGGATATTATCAGGCACCACACATATGCTACACACACATGCACTGGCGAGAACAAGTCTGTCAGTCAAATCTGCCGAGGGAGGTGTGGTCAATATATGACGCTGATGAGGAAAAATCGGCTGAGATGAAATTTGCTATAAATAACTCAATGCACTACACGTTATAAGTATTATTTCCCGAGACTTGACTTAAAGTATAACAAATACCTCCTAAAACTGATGTTGTTATAAGTAAAAAGTGAAACAATGTGCCATACGTCTTCACGACGGCGCAAATTTCGACATTTTAAGCATCTTGAAATCGTATTAAACAGCATGCGAACGTATAGTGTAGAATTAATTTAGGTGCAGTTGTTCGCCTGTTCTGGTGATTTATCATGTAAATATGCAAAGACATGAATCAAGTTTGTTCACAATGTAATTAAAATGCTTAATTCTTTGTTGTATCTATCACTTTTTTGTCGTGGTTGTTATTGGTGGGTTCAAAGGGGCGAAACTGGTGCATGTCCTCCATAAAAATTTTCAAATCAAAGGTAGTGATTACTAGAAAAAATTGTAATTCTATTGATAAATTTTTAAAACTTTAAGTTCGTGCTTAAATGAAAAACTATAACTTTTTACAAATTTTCATTTGAAGACGGAAATTGCATCTTCCTTCACCATCCAGGTAAACACTATGCTTAGAACAAGTAGGACTAGTCATTTATAAGTTTCCTGTTTTCAGTTTTTTCAAGTTTTACCTGGTCTGATTCTCCTGCATGGCTGCGTTTGTTTTACCTGGTCTGATTCTCCTGCATGGCTGGTCTGATTCTCCTGCATGGCTGCGTTTGTTTTACCTGGTTTGATTCTCCTGCATGGCTGCGTTTGTTTTACCTGGTCTGATTCTCCTGCATGGCTGGTCTGATTCTCCTGCATGGCTGTGTTTAAAAAGGAATCAAAATATGTACAGTTTTGTTATTTGCATACTTACTAATTTCATAACAGCATATCCTCTTCTATCCTCTTCTGTTTTTATAACCCAGCGTCGTCTTGTACTCATCTGTATGTATCTTAGATGAATATATGGACTGATTTTGATTTAAACATATTTTATTGATACATAATCAATTGGATCAGACATAAGTTTTCCCAACTTATGATTAATAAATAATTTTTTGTTGTGGGATATTCCATTAATTATACGTGAGGTATAGCTTTAAATAATTTAGTCAAAAAACTGTTCCATAAAACTGATAAAATATGAGAGCTTCCTGCCCCCCCCCCCCGGGGTCCCTACTCTAAACCCACAACTGCCCCCTCCCCCTTTGAAGAATCCTGGATCCGCCACTGGATTGTCCTCTCCAATACAAAGAAAATGAATAATAAATACGTGCGATCAACAAAATAATACATTTGAAGTGCAAGGAACAAAAGTAAGAGAGAGAGAGAGAGTGCAGAGAAAAGGGAGGGGGGAGGGTTGTAGAAGAAGGGAATGGTTACGTTGATCATTAAAATATTCGATTTTTGGTGCACTTGTGCACAGCCGTTTAACAAAATTAATGTTATTTTGGTGGCATACATTTTGGTCCCCAAATAATATTGTTTCAAGATCCATTATTCCTTTATTATATCTCATGGTGTGAAATTAATATGATCTTCTTTCATGCCTTATAAGTTTTACGATGCAGAAAAGTAAGGTTTAGTGTTTTCATTTATAAACCCACAAGATCACTTTGTATTATCTGAAAGTCCAACCTTAAATAAATCGGATTTTAGGAGACTTACATTGTGTCTAATTCTATAGTTAAAAGTGAGTTCGTCTTCCTGTCACCATAGGAAAAATATTTTGGAGGAGTCTCCCTTTTGGGTAGTCTATTTTTGAAAAGGTCAACACTGTTCCGTTTCCGTTTTTCAAAAGGTAAAGCATTCCACGGTGATAAATTGCGTAAATTGCAAGGCCAGTTACAATACGTGCAGCTTCTATAAATGAAGTGAGTCAGCTGCAGAAATCTTGTCCATGCAATACTTCTGATGCATATTCAAAAAGTTGTCTTATTAATGTCAAATACATTTTAGCTAAGAGTGGCGATCCAATAGCAATTTTAAATTACGACGGACTTTGGAAGCCTTTTGTATAATATTGTCAATATGGTTTGTCCATTTGCCGGAGTTCGAAAATGTAAGTCCAAGATGACAGTGACTAAGAGAAAGGATATGTTGATCGTCAAACAAGAAGTACAAGCTAGATATTTCATCTTAATCAGGCCCGTAGCAACGGTTTCAAAAGGGGGGGCAACTTCCCAGAAAAATCTGACAAGCAAAAAAAAAAAAAAAAAAAAAAAACTAACCAAAAGTGGGGGGGGGGGCAACTTCTCAAAATTATCTGAGCCAAAAAAATGTCTTTTACTGTCCAAATCCTGGTTTGCCAGTGCTCGACCTTACAACATCAAAAAGTGGGAGGGGGGACCAGCATCTAACGGAAAATTTACTATAGCAAAATACTATACTCAGAAAAAAATGGGGGGGGGGGGAGAGCGGGCCCCCTGCCCCTCCCCTGCGATCTAAGGGCCTGTTAATGACTGCCAAATATTAATATTTTAGTTTTGTTAGGATTGAATTTCTCAAGCCATTTTTTTGACCATTCGTTAATCTTCTTTTTCCGAAATCGTGATTGGTATAAGCCATTTTTAAGTACGACAAACTTTTGGAAGTGTTTGACACGAATGTCTGCAAATAGAGTAGAGAGACCTAATAAATGGTAGGAAAAGTATAGGACCAAAAACAGAACCCTGGAGATCTCCAGATTTCGTTCTCTCCTCTGAAGATACTGAAAATGTAATTTCGACTTGTTGTGATGAATTGAAAAGATAGTTAGTCAACCAAGAAAGTACTCTACCCACAAATCCACGTTTTTTTAATTTATATTTTAAACCTTTCAACCAAACCATATCAAATGCCTTGCTAATGCACACTGAAAAGGCAAAACAAGTTACTTCTTTATTGTCTAATGCAAGGCATATACACATGTATTATGATAAATTTCTATTAACTAAAGCACCATATATATTATGATAAATTTCTATTAACTGGGTGACTGTTAAATGATTTCGCATAAACACAGCTTGTAGTTTGTATAGCAATTTGATAATAGGTTGTTTTATATATATATACATTAAATTTTTTCAATTTTTTTCCCTATACAACTATAACAACAATAAGAATACTGGTCTGTAATTTGATGAGTTTGTTTTATCATCGTTTATACAAACAGGAATCACATACACTGTAAGCATGTTTCAAAACACCAGGAAATTGCAAGTACGCAAAGATTACTAATCAAAATTTTAGTGAAAACTGTAAATTCATTATACTAATTTCTTTTATCGAAATATAGCTGAAATTGTCGGGACAAGAGCTCTTTTTCTTTTTTTTGGGGGGGGGGGGGGGTGAATGATTTTAATGATGTCACTTATTTCATTTTTGTGTATTGTAATATTTTCAACTTTGGCTTTTGTTTTTTGCTTCAAATCCAGGAAAGTCTATCTCCGCTACGTCATAAAACACTTGACAGAAATAAGTTTCACTTAAGCATTATCTTGTTTAAATGGAGGAAACAGATATAACCTGCGACCTATTTGTCAAGAAGTTTTTGTGTTTGAGCATTTGAAATGATTCAATGAATCATTATTTCTTTGCTTCCAGAATTTTTCTAGATCTCTCACATTTTTAGATTTTATGCAAGCCTTTCTGAGTTTATCACATATAATTTGTTTTTCTTTCCTGATGTATTCTACACAAAGACGGGGTGGTGAGACCCGACGATAATCCTTGGTTTAATTCTAACATTTGTTTACAAATTCTGATAGTTTATTATTAAACTTTAACGTATCAACATCAATGACATCACTATTCAAAATTTCATCCAATGCGTTTCACTAATTTGTTTCATGGACTATCTCAACGAATTTAGAATTCACCTCATTCGTGACGTCACGAATACACAACATATAGCATACTTTGTTATTACACATTGAACCCGACATTTTTTTTTTTTTTTTTTTTTTTTTTTTTTTTTTTTTTTGGACAAAAAAGTTGCCATGTCATTTTGAACAAACCTTCATATTACCAAACCATCTGTCGAATGGAAGGTAGTGACTTATCGTAAACTTTGCCAAATATACACGTTAGTGAATTAAAACTTTGACAAAACCGCTTCATTTGAACACTTGGACATCACTAGACCTGAGCTAGTGGACACATATGATGAAAAACTTTGTAACACTCTGGAGGTAGTAGGCCATTACAAATGAAGGAAATCATATTGCGCCCGAAGAAAAAAAGAATTTCACACTGCTAAACGCGAGCGCAGAAGGCGGAGAGACTCAAACACAAATATATCAAAACTTATGACACAGAAAGAAATTAAGTGAAAGATGGATTTTTATTCTAACAAATGAGAAGAAACTAGTCAAAATCCAAAGCAATTATACCAACTTTACAAACAGACTCATGGGAGAAAAAGACTTGTTCTTCATGTTGCGTCGCTAAGTCAAAATTGCGTGGCTGTTCACCATCAAACTGAATAGCATAATATAGAAGGAATGTTTGGACATAAACTTATTGGCAAGTGTTTCTTGACGCTTGTGTTCAGGTAAGACTGTATCAGTCTTTTCCATCTTCATTCAAGAAAGCCATTATACGACCACTGCTAGGGAAAGTGAAATTGAAACCAGATTTATTACAGAACTACAGACTCATTTCGAAAGTATCATCCCCTTTAAAAGTTCTTGGGAAGGCATAGGCTGCTCGAATGAGATGCCACAAAGATTCCTACCACTTTAAAAATGATGTAGCTCAATTGGCATACCACCCCTGTCAACAGAGACGGCACTGTAACGAGTTCATTATGAAATTACAACAGCCTTGGACATTGATTCCTGTGTTGTATTGGTAAATGTATTGGTAATTGTTGGACCTTTCCACAGTCTTTGATGCAATTGACCACCAGATTCTTCTAACTTTGTAAGACGTCATGAGTTCTCCTTTGGCATTACTGTACAGTAATTGGTGCAGCACCTGCATAGATAAAATCCTACTTAACTGGTCCGTATACGCAAAATTTGGATATCGGTTCTACACTCAAAGGACTTTTTGCTTCCTTGTGGAGTGCGTCAAGGCTCCCTTCTCGGACCTAGACTCTATGCGATGTTTGCCAAACCATTAGGTGAGCTATGCCGTAGACAAAATATCATCATGATAATCAAGCATACTTATGCAGACATGAAACTCTCTGGAGGATTGTTTATTTAAACAGTGAAAAGCTTTGTTTGTTAGTTTGAGAATTAATGTTGCAGCTGTTGTGGGAAAAGTACATTATGTAATTTTAAAAAAAAACAATTTTATTATTTATATTTATGGCTGTATTAAAAATCATATAAAGTAGGACTATGTACGTTAAATATTGTTTTATTGATATGTAAGTCATTGTATGATTCATTGATGGAAGAGCCACTGCTTGAAAGAAATCGCTTAGCGGCGTTAACGTATTGATAATCGACCATGGTTTTCATAAGAAATAAAGGTGATAATATTATGTACATGTATTGATAATCGACCATGGTTTTCAAGAAATAAAGGAGATAATATTCAGTGGATGTAAATATTCGACATTAAATCATGAATATGCTCCAAGTTGTTAATTAAAAGCTTAATCAGGATTAAACCGAGTTTATTGTTCTCTCCTAAATAACATTCCAGTTTGACAATCTCGTACCTTGTACCAACTTACTAGTGCCTTTGGAAACACAGTTACAACCAGCTGAATATGTATCAGAAATCTAGGTGTTTTCTGTGACAGAAGAACCGTATGAGAATTTCATATTATAGTCAACTTCATAATAACTTTACGGTCTCTTATCACAGAACATGCTTGTAAAACCGTGTGCTATCGCGCCTGGACTATGGAAATGCATTTTTCTAAGTCTTAAACCGTACAGATGTGAGCAAGCTTCAGAAAAATCAGAATTCAGCAGCTCGACTTGTAACCCGCGTACTTAGAAGGATGAACTTACATCACCGGTGCTAGTACCATTGCACTCACTTCCGGTTAATTTCCATGTCCATGCAGTATATTTTGTTTGTTTGTTGTTTAAAGCCCTCTCGAGAATTTTTCACTCATGTGGAGACGCCACCATTTGCCGATGGAGAGCTGCAAATATTGACCTATGCTCCGCACTGAGGGCCATTGAGCAGTGAGGGATCTTTTTCGTGCCAGCACCTACGGCGATACGGGACCTCGGTTTATACGGTCTCATCCGAAGGACCGGTCTCCACGTCTCACAGTGGGATTCGAACCCGCGACGTAAGGATCAATTCCTTACTCCGCGACTCTAGAGCAGACGCTCTTACCACTGCGCCACGCGGGCGAACCATGTCCAGTATAAGATTTTCTTGTATAATATGGTGAAGCACCAGCCTATTTGGATAATATTAAGGTGTCTCAGCCCAATCGGTCTCTGCGCTCTAGGGATTCTTACACACTAGTGAGACTTCGTGTTTGAATAGAATCTATGGGGATAAGCGCAGCCACTCCGTGGAACAATTTACCAATTGTCCTTTGGTTGAATGGATCTGTTAAGTGTTTAAGGAAAATCCTAAAACGTACCTTTGTAGAAAAGTTTATATGGAAAAAAAATTATATAAAATGTTAAGTCCTTTCGGTCAATCCATTGGTATCGACTTCACAGAAAAGCATACTAACCTCGATGTTCTTTTCTTTGTAGTCAATATATCTAAGGATAGACCTCATGGTGGAGCTTCTGTATTTCGAAGGATTTTCAAATTATACTTTCTCTAATATTCTACAGATGTAATAAAATTTGAAAAACTTGTAATTATGAAACATATTGTCGTGTACAAAAATTATCGAAGATATTACTGAAGCCAAGACTTTGATGACCCAACAATCTTGGATTTTTATATCTTTACGGTACAATTGTGTGTGTCTGTTTTATGTTTATGATGTGATAACTAAATTTGAAACACCTGGTAATTCTTTACGTAGACAAACTCTTTAACAGAGTTTAAAATTTTTCACGTAGACAAACGCTTTGACTGAGTTAAAAACACGATCTCTTTAAACTTACATAAGCTGTCAGATCATCAAGTTTACTGCTTTTCAGAGGCTGTGTATTCGTTGTAATGATTTACACACCTTCTTTGCAGCTGTATACCCACTTTTCTTTCAATAGATATATCATATTTCATGGTCATATTGGTATTTTTTAAAACTTTCTTTTCACATATTATATGATCAATTGTTTTTTAATGAAACACCAGATAACTAAATAAATGAAAGGCGAACGTAACAGGCTGTGGCTGATTTACTTTGTGTTGTTGCATGATGCTCTAACATTAAAATCAGCGAGAAAGGAGCCTCCAAAATACATCGTACTCAATGCTCAGCGAGCAAAACTTTTGTCTCCCCATTGACGATCGAACTTTTCTTTTGCATTACGTCATAACGACATCGAAGAGCCTGATAAAAAATCATCAATATTTTTTTAAATAATTGGGACAAATAAATTTTCTTTCGGATGATTTTTTTTCACTCTCAACTTGTATTTATTTGGTAGCCATAAGGAGGACATTTTTTCAGATGGCAGAAAAATTCCACTGGTGAGAATGAAACGATTGCGGTACTATTTTTCAGTTTCAAATATATAGGTCTATGACCTACTTTTCATGCTAATAACCTCTAATTTTTTTTTTTTTTTCAAAAATTGGAAAAACTCCTAAAAAATGTTGCACTATGACCAAGATTTTCTTCCCTAGCAAAATATAGCAAGTAATTTTTTGAAATTCTACCCGTATTTTATCTGATCTTACAAAAACAAAACAAAAACGAATGATGAGAACTCTAAACTATTCATAGCTTTGGTTTACTTATATTGCCCATGTTCTGCAAATATCAAAACCACATAAGGTCATGATCCTATTTTTGCAAAATATGCAATCTTGCAATCTGGAATGGCTTTTGTTCAGATTTTTTATGCCCACAAATTATTTGAAAAAAATATATAAGTTTTTAAAAGGTTAACATTTGCAAAATGACCTTTTAATTTACCTTTTCTACAAAGGTAAATGAAATTGAAAAGATCATAGAAACCCATTTTTATACAACATAGTAAGAAAAAAAAAATAGTCCGAATCCTCTCTGCATCACCATAACTCTACATTTTATATTGCATATTTTTGTCAAATAGTAAAACATTATTTTTTGATATTAATATTAATTCATAGCATGGCTATTTTGTTCGTTTCGAACATTTTTTTAATATATTTAAGACATTGTACTTTAAAAGGGCATGGACACAGCGGCATTGTTTACAATTTGAAGTTTCTGTTTTTATCAAAAAATAACTTCAGTTTAATGAATTACATGTAAACTTACATGAATATTCTTACAATTCAATGACAATGACATTCTTCAAAACATTTTCTGGATTATAGTTTTAATATTTTTCATTTATTGACAATAATACTTCTACTTTTCTTAAGTATTATGGATAAAGTTTACTTCGTGAAAGTGCAAGGATACATTGTAAGTGTCAATTAAACACGTCCCGAAATTCGTAGTTTTAATAATTTCCAGACAAAAAAAGTTTCTAAAGACGCTTTTATTAAATTTCAGTGAGAAATGCTCTATCAACATATGAGTCGTGATATTAAACTGAAAATTTAAGAAAATATTAACTTCAAATCTGTGTCCAAGCCCCTTTGAAGCAATCCAATTCTGTCAACTTAAACCCTGAGTAGACGTCATCCTTAAGGCTGTCTACGACGTGGATATTTATAAACAGTGTTCGAAGTTCATTTATCCATTTTCAAAGAAGCTGGACAAATGATAATTTCTAATGAAGAATTTAATTATCAATTGATAATACACGTAGAATAATCAAAATTTTATTCTAGAAAGTTACTGTTCTTTTTCAAAATAAGTCATAAATCAGACTTATATTTAGATATAATTAGCACAGTTTCTCTTTGTAGATTTGTATTATCTATAGTTGTCTTTAGATTTTCCATAATTATATATGATATATGTAAGTGTTCCTTGTAAGCGGCACTCATAAAAGTAAACATTGGTTTTGTCAACATTATGTAAGAGTACGTCTAACTTCTGTATACATATGAGATAAATATCAGCACGAAGCACTCTCCTGTACAATTTCTGCGCACTATTTACCACGTGGTTTATATGGACAGTATATATTAATCACATTCAAAATATTATCTTATGTTTTCATTTTGATAAGTCATGCAGTTCGGATTTCAATAGTTCAAATAAGTCATGCAGTTCGGATTTCAATAATTCAAATAAGTCATGCAGTTCGGATTTCAATAGTTCAAATAATTACAGAATAACATATAAATATATTCTACGTGAAGTGATTACTAGTATATGTGCGTAAGCATTGTTCACTGACATATGGCATTTTGTTGTATTTTTCTTTCCTAAGCTTAAGGAAATAAAACAAAGAAAATAACAACATTTATTCAATTTATCTTATATAAATGGTTAACTTTTTACAAACATAAATTTAATAAAAAGTGCGATGAAAAACAACACTCTTGACAAACTATAAAAGTAAATTTTCTTACCAAAATTTTTGGATGAGCTAAACACTCCAAATACACAAAACGGTAATATTTTTAATTGTGTTTTTAAAATTACAATGATTTAAAACTTAGTCACGACGATGTCACAGCTAAGTCCACATGTTTAGCAACAGGGGCCTCAATAGTCAGTACGCCGTCAGGGGACAATGAAGAGGTCAGTTTTGAGGTGTCTACGCTTTCCGGAAGAAGGTAAGCTCTCGTAAACTCCCTTTGCACGTTCTTTCCGGGACTTGATTCCTTATGCTTTGCATGCACTGCCAAGTTCCGGTCCACAATTTTCACAAAAATCTCTTCCGGTTTGAATTGGCTGCAGTCAAATTTCATATCAAGTTTCTTGTTTCCAAAAGAATCTTCTACGAAGGGAGTGTCAATTTCTAGCATATTCTTCCCAAAGTGAGCTTTGTCAAATGGATCCTTGTTCATGTCCCATGGGTTTAATTTGAACATTTCTCTCCGCGCTTCTTTTTCAAACTCTTCAAAACATTTTTCGAAATCGTTCTTAAGCTCTGGAACGAGCAAATTTTGTGAGTGAAAATTTACAGGAACCAAGCGTGACATGGCGTTATATCCCCTGGAAAAGGTCTCTAATCAGGATTTTATGAAACTCCTTTGAACTGTTGCAGCATCGATATATGGTTACGCATCCAAGACAAGTTATGTTGTTTCCTGTACTGACATAAACGAGGAACGCTACCAGGAAAATACTGGAAGATCTATAGATAGGAAGTAAGAACCAAGACTTTGGAATTACAAATACGAAAAAAAAATATATGGTATAAGGATGCAGAAGGCGTTATCTAAATATAATTGAAAACTTTCTTTTCGAATTAACTTCATGAAACTTTAATTAATTTTTTTCTTCCCTCACTGATTTAGACCATATATTTAAGTAACAACTTTTCACTTAAAGATACTTGTATGTTTAAGCATCAAAATCCTTATACATCGGAAGATCAATAAATAAGCACAGCGGGAAGAATGACCTTGACATTTGAGATACTGCATGACCTTAAATCAAGGTTGAACTTAACGTTTAAGTTTTTGTGTTAAATATTTTTTATGGCTCTCTTCAGTAGGTTCCAATTTCCGAAATATTGCTGATTAAAATACATTGTACTTAACTCAAGATATGCAATGACTTCACATTTCACACACATTTTCTTCAATTCAGTTAACAGTACACCGCAAATGCAAGAATAAATATTCTGTAAAATAAATATTTCGTGTATATTTGCGGCTTTCAAAATTTTATTAAACTCATCGGCAACATTGACCTTTACACCTGAAACATGACTTGCTAGGTTAATAAACTGAGACTGGCGTTGGCTTTCTTTATGGTTGCATGAAATATGGAGATAACGAACAGTATTCAAACTCAAGGTCCATAAAAACAGTACAAATCGGGAGAACAAAAACATCAGAGGTGGGATCAGGTGCCATGGAGGAGTGGGTTTCCCCTGTCGATTGGTCAACCTGCCGTGTGCTCCTTGTCATGATCGGAAAATAACGGAAAAATCCGTCGACAATTCAGTGTGTAAATAATGTGCATCAATGTGGGCGTTCTAGAAGAGCTTGTCCGATACGGTGACGCAAAGATACTGGTCAGGTCTACTGCGATCCAATTGGGACAGTTCTAGATTAATGGGATCGCAGTAGACCTAAGAGCCTTGGATTGCGAAGATGTGAACTTTTGGGCCAAACAAAATTTTCTTCCCAATATACATGATATAATAGCTATACTGCTTACAATGATCTTCGACATATTTAAGTTGAGCAATGGCTATGACACATTACCTTGGCCTAAACGAAGTCTGAGTGAATTTTCGAGTGTAGCTTGAGATATGAATCAAACAAAATTTTTAGCATAACGGATGCAGTGACCTTGATGTCTGAGATATAACCTTGAATGAATGACACCCCCCCCCCCCCCATCTCAATAATGTTGTACGAAGTGGAATAAACACAAGAGTGGTGGACATAGAGAATCCTACAAACCTTTGTATAAGGCGGCTGTGTAATGGAAATATTTATGGTTTGTACAAATCAACTTCATTCGGTAATAGTGAAAGGATGGTCTAAAATATATTTATTCATTACAAATGAAATGGATTGAACAGCAGGCATAATGCCTATAATCGTTCTCTCCATAAGTCAAGGTACATATAACAATTATTGGTACATTTAACATTGAAAAACAGTATGTAAATAGATCATTAATTGGTACATATATAAGGTGAATCCAGAGAAAGAGAGAGTAAAATAAAGAGAAAAAAACATAATAAAGTACATTTAACATTGAAAAGCAGTATATAAAATAAACCATTAATTGGTACATGTATAAAGTGAATCCACAGAGGGCGAGAGAGAGAGAGAGAGAGATTAAATAGGGAGAGAGAAAGACCATAAATTAAAAAAAACATAATAAAGTTGACTCAGAGTGGAAAAAATTCCTTAACATACCTAAAATGAGATATTATTCTTCCTAGCATATCATGATAAACTAAGATTTCATTGAAAACCTCTTTGAGTTTCTGATAAAGGTATGTACATGATCGAAAACTGAAAAGTTGTCTTCTAAACGTAAGGATTCAGCACCATATAGTATATCATCTATATTAATTGGTATGCCATTCTCATTCATATATTTAATCAGCATCTGTCTTTGAAGAACATATTGTGGGCAATACATGAAAAAATGTAATGAATCTTCAGTTTGGTATCCACAATTTGTACATTTTGGTGAATCATTAAGGCGGTCTTTAAAAAGATCAGCATAAGGTTACTACATTTATTTCTCAACTGGCAATGTAGTATATTTTCAATTCTAATCCCATAATTGTACAACTTGACTTTATTTTTGGATGTGAAATGTCCTTGGATGGGGTGGAAATAACACTACATGATGCTTAATGTTTTGTTTATAAAAAAAAATTATGTAGATTGTATATATACACTTCATTATGTTAATCTAATTTTCATGAATTTGAATTTAAAATAAGGACGCATTCATATCAATTAAATATCAATTATCTTAAATTGTTACCTTGTTGAAAAGAAAATAAGAGGTTTCCACGGAACTGAGTACAAGAGTACGTGTTTCATTTACATCGAGGTACCATAGGTTAGAATAACGTACATGCATGTAGTAATAATGCAAGAAAATTTCAATTTTGCCAACTTTGGCTTAATTAGAAAAAAAAAATATGATGAAATAAATGCCATAGTATGCATGAAAACCGTATTGATCTACAAATTATTTAATTTGTGGAACAAAATGACATAAAATCATATTTTTCTCTGATATATCATTATTAATATAATGCGATACCGACAAAAGATAAAAAGGATTATTAAACAAATAGCCGGTTTGAAAGTAAATCAATCCAGATTTTATTAAAATGTAACGGTGAAGCAATGCGAGAATTTGGGAACACAGGTTAATTGTACCTGTTTCGAACATAAACTTAGTCGGAAAATGTTTGTTTTTTTTTCTCACGGTAAGAGTATTTTTTAAAATGCAAATTAAAGGAAAGAAGGTATAATTTGGAAGAAATTGAATCTAAAGAAAATGTAGATGGGTTTGTATCAACTGCCAAAAAAATTCTTTAATTATAACCACGTTGATAAAATATACACATGCATACAACTACAACTTGCAAAAATATTCGGAATGTTAGACAAAAATGTGAGTCACAAGTATTCACAGAGTATTGTCAGAATACATCGTGGACAAATCTTACATAGAAAAAGATCAAGTCCCCCACCTAATTAATCAGACCATCTAATGGTGTCTTTGAAGAATTGATGCATTTGATTTCAGAATTTTAGGAGGTAATCCGAATTTAAGAAGAAATTATTATTATAGTGTCCACTTAACATGATGGCGCATACTATAGAGGCAGTGGATTGTTTTCAACATTAAAATGTGCCATTGAAAAAAAAAATATGAATATACATGTACATAAAGAAAAATCTTGATGATAAGTGAAGAAAATTTGTTATTCTCAGGGGGAAAAAATCTAAAAGTTGACGGAATCATACATGCTACTCATAGATATCTAGACGCAATCTTATGGAACGCCATAGCTGCCTTATGTGGTTATTTCATGAGAAGATGGTGCTTTATTATGTTATGCTGTGGTTATTTCATGTGAAGATGGTGCTTTATTATGTTATGCTGTGGTTATTCATGTGAAGGTGGTGCTTTATTATGGTATGCTGTGGTTATTTCATGTGAAGGTGGTGCTTTATTATGTTATGCTGTGGTTATTTCATGTGAAGGTGGTGCTTGATTATGTTATGCTGTGGTTTTTTATGTGATGGTGGTTTTTCATGTGAAGGCGGTTTTTCATGTGATGGTGGTTTTTTCATGTGAAGGTGGTTTTTCATGTGTTGGTGGTTTTTTATGTGAAGGTGGTTTTTCATGTGATGGTGGTTTTTCATGTGAAGGTGGTTTTTCATGTGATGGTGTTTTTTGGTTTTTTTTATGTGAAGGTGGTTTTTAACTCATCTGAGCTGAAAGCTCAAGTGAGCTTTTCTGATCACATTTTTTCCGGCGTCCGTCTGTCTGTCCGTCTGTCTGTCTGTCTGTCTGTCTGTCTGTCTCTAAACTTTTCACATTTTCGACTTCTTCTCAAGAACCACTGGGCCAATTTCAACCAAACTTGCCACAAAGTATCCTTGGGTAAAGGGGATTCAAGTTTGTTCAAATGAAGGGCCACGCCCTCTTTCAAGGGGAGATAATTAGGAATTAGTGAAAAAATAATGGCAACATTTTAAAATCTTCTTCTCAAGAACCATAGGGCCAGGAAAGATGAAAGTCATGTGGAAGCATCCTCAGGTAGTGTACATTCAAGTTTGTTCAAATTATGCCCCCCGGGGGTAGGGCGGGGTCACAATGGAGGATCAAAGTTTTACATAGAAATATATAGGAAAAATGTTTAAAAATCTTCTTCTCAAGAACAGCAAAGCCATGATGAGTCATATTTATATGGAAGCATCCTCAGGTAGTGTAGATTCAAGTTTATACAAACCATGACCCCCGGGGGTAGGGCGGGGCCCGCAATGGAGGATCAAAATTTTACATAAAAATATAAAGGAAAAATCTTCTTCTCAAGAACAGCAAAGTCATGATGGGTCATATTTATATGGAAGCATCTTCAGGTAGTGTAGATTCAAGTTTGAAAAAATCATGACCCCAGGGGGTAGGGCGGGGCCACAATGGAGGATCAAAGTTTTACATAGAAATATATAGGAAAAATCTTTAAAAATCTTCTTCTCAAGAACAGCAAGGTTATGATGAGTCATATTTATATGGAAGCATCCTCAGGTAGTGTAGATTCAAGTTTGTTAAAATCATGCCCCCACGGGGTAGGGCGGGGCCACAATGGAGGATCATAGTTTTACATAGAAATATATAGGAAAAATCTTTAAAAATCTTCTTCTCAAGAACAACAACGCCATGATGAGTCATATTTATATGGAAGCATCTTCAGGTAGTGTAGATTCAAGTTTGTTAAAATCATGCCCCCACGGGGTAGGGCGGGGCCACAATGGAGGATCATAGTTTTACATAGAAATATATAGGAAAAATCTTTAAAAATCTTCTTCTCAAGAACAACAACGCCATGATGAGTCATATTCATATGGAAGAATCCCCA